TGGCCAATGGGAAGGTCGGATATAAAATCCGACCTCAGATTAGGAATCCTGGTCCTCGATAACCTATGGTAAAGTTTTATGGAAAATAACCCTTTTTGTTTTCACATTATTGTTCGACCAATCAGTGAAGTGCGGACACACAAGCAAGCAAACAATTTATTCTTGCTAGACTCTTCTCTACGATAAAGAGAATAACATGATTTTTACCTACTTCAAGTGACATCTAACAAAGAGAAAACAAAATATAAAATCCAACGAAGGTCAAGTAAACCAAGTGTATATATATAGACAAAACAATATAAAACGATAAGAAAAGAAAGTCGGTGTGTTACTCTTACCTTTTTTCATATACTGCACTAATAGTCTAGTTTGTTATTGCAATCTAAACAAATCAATAATGTCTTCTACATCTGTTACAACCATAACTGGAGTTATAGTAGATGATATTCGTTTTCCAACATCTAAACAACTCGATGGTAGTGATGCTATGTCACCTGATCCTTAAGATTTTCTATATTATTAAAAAGAATTAAAGCTTTCCTCAATTTTAATTGATAGAGATTATTCATCAGCTTATGTAATTCTTCATACGGATAATCCATTACTTGAAGGTCACGGTCATTCATTTACAATTGGTCATGGTACAGAAATCATTTGTGTTGCTATAAAAGCTCATACACATTTACTTATTGGTCGTACACTTGAAGAATTTATTTCCAATCCTGGTGCTTTTTGGCGTCATCTAACAAGTGATTCTCAACTTCGTTGAGTTGGACCAGAAAAAGGTGCAATACATTTAGCTCTAAGTGCTATTGTTAACGCTCTTTGGGATTTATATGCTAAACGTGAAGGAAAACCATTATGGAGACTTATTTCTGATTTAACACCTGAACAATTTTTAAAATGTATTGATTTTCGTTATATATCTGATGCAATAACACCTGATGAAGCGTTAAAAATGTTAAAAGAACTTGAATCAACAAAATCTGAACGTATAAAACAAATTGAAGAGCAAGGTTATCCAGCTTATACATCATCTGCTGGTTGGTTAGGTTATTCGGATGAAAAAATTCAACGTTTATGTCGAGAAGCTATCAATGAAGGTTTTACACATTTAAAAATAAAAGTTGGTCGAGATTTACAAGATGATATTCGACGATTAAAAATAATTCGTCAAAAAGTTGGATATGATCGACATATTATGATTGATGCTAATCAAGTTTGGGATATTGATCAAGCTATTGAATGGATGAAATATTTAGTTGAATTTCATCCATATTGGATTGAAGAACCAACATCACCTGATGATATTCTTGGTCATGCTCGTATTTCACAAGCACTTCAATTATATAATATTGGTGTTGCTACAGGTGAACATGGAATGAATCGAGTTTTATTTAAACAAATGTTACAAGCAAATGCTTTACAATTTTGTCAAATTGATTCATGTCGTTTAGGTGGAGTTAATGAAGTTTTAGCTGTACTTTTATTAGCAGCTAAATTTCGTGTACCTGTATGTCCACATGCTGGTGGTGTTGGTTTATGTGAACTTGTACAACATTTATCTATGATTGATTTTGTTGTTGTTAGTGGAACATGGGAAAATCGTGTTATAGAATTTGCTGATCATTTACATGAACATTTTGAAGATCCTTGTATTATTAAAAATGGACGATATGTTGCACCAAGTCGACCAGGTTATAGTACACAAATGAAAAAAAATAGTCGACAACAATATTCATTTCCGAATGGACCTGTTTGGAAAACAAATTCATAAAATTTATTTTTCTTTTCAATTAATTTTTTTCATCAATTTAATTTATCCTTTGATTGTTTTATCTATTATGTCAAGGATTACACTACATTAAAAAATAAATAGGTTACATTAAATACTCAGACACTTTTTTCTATATAAAGTTGAGTATGCAGTTTCATCTAATAATTCATTATTTTAATCGTATATCAATATTTATACTCTCTTTCATGTATATATCTGTTTTTTAGGGACACGTGGATTGTGATACCCTCTGCTTTTGACTTTCGGCTACACAATACCCTTCCCTTGACTTTGAAAACTATCCACATAGCGCCTCTTTTGCTGGTGTTTAATCATTCGATGCCTTCCCTTCCCTGTACCCAGTGCCCAGTTACACCTCTCATGTTTATTTTTTTGAATGAACAACTATCGAAACTTTCGGAAGGAAATTTTTGAAAAGACTGTTACAAAAAAATACGCTTGCAAGGTTTGTTTGTTGCTGGACATAATCCTTTTATCGTATTTTTTTAGTTGTGCTTTTATAAATAAGAAGGCTTTTTATGGTCTCGTTGATCAAACATTGTTCATATCAAATTGATATTTTGTTTTATTTGTTGCTCGTTTGTTACTGGATGAATTGAGATGTTCTATTCAATTTAAATTTCCTCAATATGATCTAGATTTGATTTACTTATTTCTACTACAATCAAATAGATTTCGATGACTTTCTTAGGAAATTTTACGAATAACTGATTGTTCGTTGTTTAATGATGAATGTATAAGGTCTAAAAATACTTCATTTATCTAAGATGAAATTCTATTAAAATCTTAGTCTCACGTGAAAATGCTTTGATTGTATTGAGAAAACATATTTTTCCTACGTAGAAAAACTGTCATTTGTGTGAAAAGAAAACAAATAAGGAAATAGACATTTTTTTACTTAACGAGATGGTTTACTTTGCATTTTTTTAAAAATATTATTCTGATTAAAATAGACAACACATCTGATTTGTTCTATTATTTCTCTCCATCGTTGCAATGCAAGGGGGAGAAATATTTGTTTGTGCATTGCAATGTTAAAGAAAAGAAGAACGAAAAGAAAAGAAAATAATAGACCTATTCACAAGTTTTTTGAAATAAATTAAAAAAATTAAAAAATAATCAATGAACTCGTATTATTCGTTATTAGTCTATTTAAATATATTTCATTGAACGAAATCCCTATTAGAACTGTTCGTAATGTCTGACGAAAAACTTGTCCACTACTCGTCGCATAAATATTAAATGAAAACGAACTTTGAAATGTAGTGAAAAAAATGTCACATCATCAAAAAAGTGTTTCAATTTTTGAACGTCATTGACTTTTATCGATATCAAGTGTAAATACTAAATAAAAATATAGTATCATATCAGGAATATACGAAATTAATAATAGTAAACTTTGATCAATCATCATCTGAAATTAAAAAAAGAAACGATTATTTTATAACGAGTGCTGTGAAAGTTTCTGAACTAAATGTTTCTTTATCTTGTTTTTGAACGATTACGGGAGGAGTCAATAGAAAATCTAAAGCATTCAATTAGAATCAGAACTTTCTACTTTTGTTAAATATATGTACGGAATTTTTATGAGGATCATAGGTTAGGAATTATGAATGAATCTTTCAAAGGCTCGAAAAATAAAGTCTTGGCGGAAACAGTTAAACTAACAGATCTAGAAACGGAAAATCTGATCATATTCGGTTTGAAACTGAATTATGTGTTATCGGCACTTGCTTATTTTCGTCATAAAGGCGCCCAATTTAGCTTAGTCTTACTGTTTTTTGCTTGACTGTAGAGTGTTTTTGCATAGCGTATAGAACGAGACAGTCATTTACAAAGTGAACTAACGAGGGAACCACTCGAAATGATACTCGTCGTTTGAGCTTATATTGAGTCTAGCAAAAATCTCAAAGGATTTATCCCCATGAGCCTTTGAAGCCAAGTTATGGTCGTTTTACTGAATTTTGAACCCAGCTTTAGGTATACACTGGAAAATCAACAAAACTGAACGTCGATAGGAAATATTGCTCATAGATAGGTCTTCTGATCCATAGAATATTCTGAAAGTTTTAGCCGAAAAGAATGTATTTTCATCAAGAAATTGAATGTCCAAAAAACAAACATTATCATTTGCTACAGGTATGATACAAAAATCGAGGTTGGGGTGTGAGTGTGGGTCCGGATCTCGGTGTGGCTATTCTTTTACCCGCATTCGCATTCGCAGACGCATACCCACACCCACACATCCGCATCCACACCTCACACCCACACCCACCCACATCCACACCCTCCCCTGCAGTCTTTTTAACTTCTGCTTATGAAAGTAGGAATGGTTGAAACATTTCTTTTTGAGAATAATCCATGTCTCCTGACATTAATGAATTTGAATGACGGTTTTCATTATTTTAAGAAATTATTTTTCCTTGAAACAGTGCAATTTCCCGGTTTTGGGGAAACTGTCCAGCCCCCTAATAAAGAGGACGTTATTTTCATTTGATTCATTTCTCAAAATCAATAACAATTTTTCCTTTAACTCGACTAGTATCTAATCGTTCATAACCTTGTTTTACATGATTACTAAATTCAAATACAGAATCAATTATAGGTTTAACAATGCCTTTATTAACCATATTAGACCATTACAGATGCTGTCCGATCAAACGCAGTATATTGTTATAAAGGATATAACAATGAAGAATAGTGATCACATAAATGTTGAAAAATTTATCGAGTTAATGGTCCAGAGTAACCTTTAGCTGGAAATAGTCGAGTTAGTTATTATGTTTTACGATATTGGAATAAAAAACTAAGCCTGAATAAGAATTTTAAATCAAAGAAAGACAATTGCGTGCTGTACGTTGCATTCATCAATGATTACGCTTGGTCGCACGGCATTATGTAAAATATCTTTAGTTTTTCTTGCAAATCTATAATGAAGGATCATGAGAACAATGCATTACAATGTTCTTATTATTTTATTTTCCTTAGTGATTTGTCTGAATAGAAAATAATTGACTTTGGTCTATGAAAGAATTACGCGTGTACCAGTTAATTGAATATCATATTACAAAACACTATTGATTAATTTATTGAACTTGAAAAATCAATATCAATAAAGAAAAATCAATTATTTATCTAACCTTAAAGACGATAGATGGAAAAATAATTCTTTTTTACAGCTTATTTTTTTCCTTTCGTTCTCTTCAGCATTCTCCCTCTGCTTCTCATTGCTCGTTTTCTTCACTACACCAACTCATATATAATTACTCGTTAATTTTACCTGAGAAAGAGATGATGATGATTATCGAAAATACCCGCTTAACCTTTGATATACAACAATAATCGTTCAGTTATATATAAGGCTTCTTTCAATGAGCTATATACATGATTGAGGCGTCTTCTCGCTAGTGACCATCTTGTCCCATTAGAATACAGTAATTAATATATGAACTCATTATAATGAACATACGGATTCAGATATTCATGTAATGTACTACTATGATAGCGACCACTAAAATCGAAATTCCTGAATAGTGTCATTTCAAAACAATTTACAAATTAAATTGTACCGATAGTATACTTATTGATAATAGTTTTTATCCACATTAGCTATTTAAATGAGGAAATCCTTTCCATTATGCTTATTTAATAATTCATAATCGTCTCTGATTGTTTCTATATTATCTACAAAAATAAAGTGAATAATTGTACAACTATCTTTAACTCGATATAACTACTACATCATCATAAGAAATACACATCATTTTTCAGATCTTATAGTTAAAGTAGATTGTTATTTTTTCTTACAAGTTACAGACAAGAGATGCGCACTGCTAGCGCTGAGGGCGGTCACACTTTACGCGCGAACCGTCTATGCCCTAATTTCAAAAATGCCTGATTTTTTGGTAATCACACCGTCAAAAAGGTTTTTGAAGGCTATCGCTCTGCGCCCCCTCTCTAGTACTATTGGTCGAACCTTAATCGTACTATCTGTTAAACTCTATTGCCAGGAATTTATTTCTGGATCTATAGTCTTCTTTCTTTTTTCGGACATCTGAAACAGTATTTTTTTAATGAAACAATCATCTTTTATTTGCATAATTCTATCTGCTGTCAACGACATGTCTTTTTTTCATATTAATTTGTTATTTCTTTAATACCATAAAAAGTCATTCAACTAAAAACTTATTTTATCAGATATTTTCATTAAAATAATGAACGTTAGTTTTCACTTGTTTATACCCGAGTTTCTATAAAATCACTTTCTCATTTTAGTCTTACAATCATTATTAACGAAAAAAAGCGTCAATTGATAAGAATGGATGCAGTATCAATTGAGTTAATAACATCTTATGTTGTATTTTATACCTCATACGTAATACTTGTTTTGGGTAATATTGGATGTATATGTAATTTTATAACTTTTACAACAAAACAATTACGTCAAAGCTCTTGTGGATGGTATTTTTTAATGTCTGCTCTTTTTGATTTTCTTTGTATCAATTTCGGTCTTTTCACAAAATTAGAAACCGAACATTATGGCAGCACATTACAAGATACAAATCGTGTCTGGTGTCGAATACGTATATTTTTTACATGGGTATTACCATGTTTTGCAACAGGGTATCTTGTTTTAGCTTCGATTGATCGATGTTTATCAACATCAACAAATACACGACTTCGATCATTTAGTCAAATTAAAGTTGCACATAGAATGACATGGGTACCAATTATCTTGTATACTCTCACAACTTCTCATCAATTTTTTTATTATGATCTTCGACCAACTTGTAGTCCATTACCCGGTACTTATGTATATTTTCTTTCACTGTATAGTATTATTTGGACAAGTTTAATTCCACAAAGTGCTATGCTTATATTTGGTTTGATTACATATTATAATGTTCGAAAGAGTCATAAACGTGTTGTTCGTCTATTAGAACAACAACGAAATCGAACTGATTCTCAATTAATTACTATTACATTAGTTCAAGTGTTATGTAGTTCAATTTTACTTAATATTCGAACAATCTATTTTTCATATATAAGATTTTCAACTGGAATTACAAGAGATAATTACCGTTATGCTGTTGAAACATTAATTTTACAAATATCAAGTTTAATATTTTATATAAATTTCAGTAAAAGTTTTTTTATTAATACTTTAGCAAGTAAACTTTTTCGTAAAGTTTTCAAAGAGCGTTTAATTACTTTCTATCAACGAATAACTTGGTGGAAGGTTCGAGTTTATCCAACCTTGACAACACGCACAGATCAAACTGAATTAGCAACAGTTATTTTGAAAGAAAACATTGCATTGCCACCAATGAGTTAATGGCAGAATGAAGACAACAGAGAAACTATTTATAAACTAATGTATTCATTTTGTTGTATTGTAATTTGTTTTAAACTTAAATTTAAATAAATTTTCACATTGCGGCTGAAAGTTTGTTTTGATTGATTAAAAGCATGCTGTTATAGTAGTCGGAAGAAATGTTCAAAAAGTTTTCGTTGTCATCAATATTATTGATAACAGTGCTACAGATAATATTGGCCTTACGATACAATATTTTAATGGTTCATGCTGTTATTGATGATTTTCATCTTTTCCTAAAATAAGTGTAAATATTTTGTATCTTCGACTGGTCGCTTAATGCCCATTTAAGCGGTGATTTTTTCAATTTTTATGAATTTTTTGTCACAAAAGCCAAAGATATCAGTTGTCCATCTAACTTTTCAAAAAGATCATTTTTTTTTATCAAATTGTGAAAAAATATGAATATTCTACTCAAATAGCCACGCTTTTCCGGCTTCTGGACATTCGGAAATAGCTGTGAAAACTACAAGTCTCAGTGTACCATCCTTCACATATGTATCTGTTTTATATGTTCTCAAGTAATGTTCATAGTACCTGCAACTTCCTAATAAAAACGATCAGTGTAAATGCTGGCCCAGTAAATTCCAGTACTTGTCGATTTCGGTTAAAAGTACTATAGTACATTTGACCAAAATTGTGAAACACTCGCACATACGATAAATATTACTTGTGCAAGTACCAAAACAAACATATTTATTGGGAGGTAGGATCCCGAGGCCTATAATCTTCCTATCCACGTTTGTTGCTATTTCTGACAGCTCATAATCTGAGATAAAGCATGGTTATCTATATACAATCCTCAGTTTTTGAAAAAAAGAACGAAAACTGATGTTTCTATGAGTTGTACCTAAAACTAGTTGAAAATCTAAAAAATAGCTTTTTCTCCTACTTTCTTTCTTTTTTTCTTTTCAAGCGAATATTTTTCCGTTTTTAAATCACTCTAACGCAAGCATAACTATATTTGTTAAGGCCTCTCCTCCTCAAAATTAAATCTCTCGCCAGTTACGCTCCCTCATCTTCTCAAAACATGATAACCATCCTGTTGCATAGGATTGAGCTGAAACTTTTCGAACATAGTAGAAATCAATCATCCTCGCACCATCGAAAATTTATTTGCATTCAGCTTCATCTCTCCAAGATTAAAATAATTTTACTACACATGTCTTTTTATGTGAGATTCATTTTCGTGGTTTTTCGCATCTTCAATTTCATTCAATTATCACATTATGATAGACTGAAGTTGGATGTGGGTGTGGCTCTTGTTTTTCTCACACCCACACCCACACCCTCCCACACCCACACGCACACCCCACACCCACACCAACACACCCACACTCACCCACCCACCCACACCCACACACCCACACCAACACACCCCGCCCACACCCACACCCACACCCATTTTCATGGGTTCTTTTGTATGTTCTTCGACTATGATTAGTTTTAAAAGGATTTCGTCTTATACATTATCGGAGAAAAAGACGCCCCGACTCCTCTTTCGATTAGTGAAAACCGCAGGTTGCTAGCTGTATCCGTTCCGAAGATATTCCTCGCAGAGTTTTGCCCATTTACTTCTGGCGCTGACATTAGTATGTACAGAGATAAGGGCTAGTTTGATTTTTTCATTTATTTTTGAACTCGAATTAAGCAATTCATGGATAGAAAGTGCAAATATATACAAACTTTTGCTCTTATTTATAAGATATCGACGTCTTTAATTGCCGCCGTCAGTGTCGTCATTATGGACTGACTGCGCTCGCATGATATCTGAGGTGTTTTTATCTTTCTGCCACGATTTTCCTCTACAACAGATAAAGATCGACGTGATAGCCGAGGTATAGTTTTTTTTTTATGAATATTTTCATTTTCATCTGATCCAGAGTTGACCGATTCGTCAGACGAACAAATGATTTCATCACTGTTGTCATTTTCACTTAATCGAGATTGGATAGATTTCCGACGTCGAATGGTTTTTTTCTTCATAATCGTCCTCTTCTTCATCTGAGGATTCAGATGATTGTTCAACATTTTGATAAAGAATATTTTCTTTCCATTGATTGAGATCTTGTTTCGGATGACAACGTGCTAATTCTTTCGTAAATTTCTTGGAAGATATATTAAATGACTGAACAAAATCAGTCAATTGTTGTTTCATTGATACACTTCGTCTGCTTTCAGCTTTTATATTTTCTTCGATCACCTTAGCTGCTGCTTGATGAAATCTTTTTGTTTCATTGTCATATAATTTCTTTTTATCTTTGATCGATCTTGATACGATTCTTAATTTTTCATTGGACTTACTTTGACGTTTCCGAAAAACTTTTTTTTGTAATGTGTTACGCCATGAACTCGTTCCTTGTTGTTTTACTTGAATGCGGAGCTTCAGTTTTTGCTTTTCCAGATCAGTTATTTCGTTGTATAGTTTATCAGCAGTAGATCGCATTTGTGGAATTTTATCTTTTAATAATTCATGTTTATTTTCATTGAGCATTGAACTTTGAATAGATTTTAACTTAGCAACAATATTATTATTTTCTTTGACGTAAAGATCAATCGAAGAAACAGCAGCATCGAAAACATGCCACAAATGTTCGTATTCTGTTAATTTGTTTTTCTTATTTGTATGAACTTTGTGCCATTCTGTTTGACGATCTTTGATGTTTTTCGAACACTTTGATAAAATATCGATCACGTCTTTGATCATTGTACGTTCAACATTTTGAAGACAAATATCTATATTGATTTATAGAGAAGATTTGATTAAAAAAAAACGAAAAATAATTACTATTTTCTTGTAGTGTATATGCGGCTTGATAATTCATAATTCTTTTTTCATCAGATGATGCATTTGTAACAGTTGAGAATTGTTTCTTTATTGGATTTGATCGTGTCATTATTTTCTTCACCTTCGAGATTCGAACGTGCTGTAATATTAGATTTTAGATGCATTTTTGTAAGCAGGATTCATATATATAATTCGTGATGAAAGGAGAAACCCTATGTGAATGATTAAAACCTGAGAATTTCCAACAAAAACAAAATGGAAAAAACTGGATGAAAATAGCATTGAGAGAAAAAAATACCCAGTTGGTTTCTTTCGTATTAAGTCAATAAATACATCATGTTCGGAGATATGAAGTTTTTATCGGTTTTCTCTTCCTCTGCAAGGTAAGCTCCCGTATACAACTACTAAGTGTGTGGGTATGGGTGTGGGTGTGGATGTGTGGGTGGGTGTGGGTATGGGTGAGTGTGGGTGTGGGTGTGGGCGTGGGTGTGGGTGTGGGTGTGGGTGTGGGTGTGGGTGTGG